AAAAGCTTAATTTCGACTAGATAATTTAAGATTACTTGTATTATTTGTTTCATAATATTTCAAAAATTCTTACAATGATAACAAGGGATTTTAGTTGGCAGTGTAGTAAAAATAAGGACAGTGCGGGAATGGTAATTGTTATTTTTATTTATTTAAAATATTAGCTTTAATGAATAATTATAATGACATTTCTCTAATTTGCTTCTTAAGAACAGACATATTTGATTTTCCTATTTCGGTTAATTTATCAGACTATATGATCTCGGAAACATGCTGTGCAACATCGCATAAAGTTTTAACGGATGTAAAGTGAAAGAAGAATTGAGGAGTTGAAGAGGTCACCTCTTTAAAGGATCTTATTTCTAATGTGTCTCATTTTCTTTTCATATAATTTCGGTACTGTTTCCTAAGTTTCCTAAATGACATTGGATATCTAGTTATCTCTTTTTTCTGCTCTCTCTCTCTCTCTCTCTCTCTCTCTCTCTCTCTCTCTCTCTCTCTCTCTNTCTCTTTTTCTCCCTCTCTGTCTATATTCAGAGCAAAACACATGTACATAAGAGAACTGTTTTGATCCAAAATCCTGAGTTACATTATTAATTTTAATCTCTGTTTACATTAAACTGATGTGCTAATTCTATTCTCAAGGTTTGGTCCCACGGTATTGAGGTGAGCATGATCGATTAACACAATAATTGTAACTTTATAACTAGACTCAGGGAACATCTGAACCCTTTAATCAGTAGTTGCAATTTACAACAGCAGGTTCTAATAAGACAACTTAATAACAGGGTATAATCTTTGCCTTATCAGAGTCACTAGTAAATAATTTCTCAAAAACAAAAACCCAAATAGTGCAGTTTAATTATTATCATATCACATTGTGATAGTAGGTATTAGTTTTTAAATATTTCAAACTGCATGATTTAAACTTTTAGAAGATTTTTTTCCAGTTTCATTGTGAGTTCTATAAATGGGTGCAAGAAGATACTACTAGCTACAGTATGTGAGAAACAAAATTTTATTTCATATTTCGAATAAGAAAACAAGTGTAAACAAAATAATGTGTAATGTTACGTCAATCATAAAGGATTATTAAGTGGCGCTGCTTTGCTAGAAGCTTTAAGCTTGATTTTACTTGTCGGATCGCTAAAAAGAGCGCGCAGGGTGAACAACCCTTATTTCTCCTACACTCTAGTGGATCATCCTCCCACTAGAGGTATCATAGCAACGACTAAACATTGAGCATTATGAACGGAAATTAATTCTGTCAACTCCCAGCCTTTATTCTTGCTCAGGGCTATTCTTATAATCTTGGCCTATTTGGATTGAGAATAGCACGCTTATTCAAAAGTAATCAAAATGTGAACAACCATCGGTTTCAACATTTATGTCTCGCCGGCATAAATAAGCGCCATAGGCCATTATGCTGAAACACGTTTTACGTTTATTAGACCTATTTCATGTTTTCTATTGGATTAAATCCCAACATTCTAGCAAAACTTGCGGAATATGTTATTTTTCCTTTTTTTAGTTAAAAATTACAAGGTTGATAGTTATCGTTTTAAAAATAGATACCGCTTCCTATAAAATGCCCTTCCTATAAAGTGTAGTTTTCATGCCGATTTTGTTTCTATGTTTTGAACTCGATAAAATAGCTAAATTTGCCAAAATCACTGGTAAACTTTATAGTCAGAACTTCTTAGCTAATTTCCGCGTCTTGTACATGCACGCAAATCTAATTACAATTCATTAAAGAAGATTATGGGAAAACTTCCGAACTGACATGATAAAACAAATTTACACTGATTGAAGAAAAATATAAACAATTACTGTTCAAACGGCTAATTATGGATATCAAAAGTAACATTCATTTCTTATCCGCGTGGATAATACTTGAAAGTTGCTCACAGAAATTAATATCGTGTACATTAATGATTTATTATAAACATTTCTCTAATCAAAAAATAACTGACAAATTTCTTTTTAGACACACACAAAATATTAAAATACTCCATAGTTAATTCACCTATCCGTTTACCTAAAGCATTCTGGGTCAGAGGTGACAATCAAACCTATATGCACCCCACTTTTAGTCCACATATAAATTGTGCACCTTATACAGAACCATTAATGCATTACAACTTCCTTTTATAATTCCTCTCAAAATTTATCATTCTTCTGAAGTCAGTGCTACATATACTCCCAATGTAGAAATTCCCCTGGATATGACCATTACCTCCACTCAACTTCTAAACCTTTCACAGAAAGCTATAACATTTTTAACAACAAAATATTACGCCATACTACGTACCACTTACTTTTTTCTGTTAAGGATGTATTCTGTTGTCAATCTTGTTTTTGCTTATATCTCTCCCAACCACAAATCCTACTAATGACCCATCAGTCGTTTTCCTTTGACAAAATCGAAAAACATTTTTGAGACTACATAAAACGACTTCGCGCCAGTTAGGCTTCTGGCCTCATCATGCTACGCTTCAGCAAGTTTTCCGAGTGAAGTGTGGCAACGAATACTCAGATATCAGATCATACAAGGCATACCACAAGGTTGCATACTCGGTCCCATCATGTATACCATTTACACTGATACCTTTTCCTACATTCCATCACCATAACCTCCCATAGCTATGTGAACGCAACAAACTACAATATCTAAGGACACCCTTGAGATTTTCAAAGATTGGTTCAAAATGTGGAGGGCAAGACTGAATGATAAAAATGCGCACAGTGAACGTTTACATACATGGAATACGTGGAAAAACCAATCTTGCCTCCACCGTACATCAACAACAACGAGCCACCCATTTCCACTTAAGTAAGATACCCATCATTTTACCATCCAGGAAGGATTCAGCTTAGTTAATACCTTTTCCTCCGTTCTAGAGAACAAATACTATTAGTGGGGGTGAGTTTCTAGTGAGACCCAGGATTTTGTTAAGCTCTGGCAGGCTTCCTTTACAGATTTAAACTTATTACTCCTTATCACCTTATCCTGGAATCCTATTTAACTGACAGCTGCTTGAGAGTGAAGTGCTGCAACGAATATTGAAATATTAGATCAATACAACGCTTTGCATCATAAGGGTGCCTGCTTACTGCCATCATGTTACACTGCTAACTTTCCTAAACATCCCAACACGATCATTACTACAGACAGTATTTCTGTCTTCTAGCCGAAACCATCTCCAACATCAAAAAACACTTTGAACACCGTTTTTACCAAATATTGGTGCAAGAAATGTAGGACAAGAGAGAATGAGGAATATGCAACCAGTGAACATTTACATACAAAACCTCTCTCGCCTACATATAAACATGAACTAGGAGCTACTGACTTCTACCCAACTGAGATACTTAGGACTAAACCTAGATAGCAAACTACCGATGAATCAAAAGAAAAGGCTTAACAGACAAAACTTACCAGCAGACTCGTACAAAAACGAATACTTTCAGAACCAAAATCTGTTTTCATCGTCTAAAGGCCATTTAAATCTATCCCCTGGCCCCTTAGTATTTATTTTGAGGGCCAGCATTGTCTACTTTCGGTTAATATGTGTCCTCCGGGCGCAGTGGTATGACCGGGAGGAAAAAACTTACGTACTTATTTGTAATTTGTATTTTGATATGTATAGACTATAAATAAATTATTTCAAAAGAGACATCCGCCGAAAGTGGGAACAGGGGAAAACGCGTCAAACCTGAACACAGCGAGAATGGTCGGACCATATGTCAACAGACAATCACACTTAATACAGACATTCGACCGTACGTAGATCATAAACAAATTTTTTATTTCATCAACTCTAGAATGTAGTAAAAATAAATTGGAAATAGAACTAATTGCCCTCAAAGTTATAATTTTAATTATTATTTGTGGCTCTCTGAAATGATAAAAACATTGGGGTTGAAATATCAATAATAATTTGAAACCAAAACTTTCAAATTGCATATATTAAAAAAATGGATACAGGTGTTGGATAGAGAAACAAAAAAATTTGCTGCGAATACAAATAGAAATCAAAAATATAATTTACGGATCAAGCTGTTAGTAATAATTTATGATCAATTATTAAAAGCCTTGGATAGATTAGGATAATTTATGAATTCTTAATCCACCGTAAGTTACCAGATTAAGATATTATCCCCGACCCTAATTTAGACGAACAGTCTTGAGTTAGTCGTAACCTCGGCTTGTTTAGTGAGGTTGCAAATAACGTTTTGCAAGTCGATTCTTATTTTCGGCATAACCTCAATTAAAATGAACTAATATACGGTCTAATAAGGAGGGTTTGAGTATTTCACTGGCGACGTCGATACTATGAACGAAAACGCATTTAGCCCTAAGCATTTATCATCGACTTTTTTCTGTAAACATCTTTCGATTCCTCAGGGCACTATTGATAGATCATAACTTACTTGGGTTTACATTATACTTTATAAAAAACTTTGATTTATAGTAACGTTCATAGAAAATTAGGATCGAAGTGGATGCATTGTCGTTTTGACGTGCTCTTTCTTTTGTGATGAATTCGTCGGTAGACATCTAAAGGATATATTTTAATATATCGATGATGAATTGGGTGTTTTACTAGCTTATTTATTTATATGTTTTTTAAAAGCTTTATATATTTTACAATTTGTTTTCAGTAAATAAAACAATATTTTAACCGGTTTAATTACTTGTTTGTTAGCGAGTTAGAAAATGTTCATGTATTTCTGAAATAGGTTAATAAATTGTTCATTGACGTTTTGCTATCGTGCCAAATCGGATTTTAAAAACAGATTCCGCTCTAAATACTTTGTCTGCAAACAGCTCCCTGACTGGGGGTGCCAAACACAACGCAATAACGCGTGGATGAACTCTACCTTTGGCGTTGACTAAAATATGCGGCGTCAATATTTTTGGCCTCTTCACCTGGCCCGACATCTTCCGAAGCTATCTGGATAATAGCGGCTTAATATTCAAACAATTTTCAACTTACCTGGGCAACTTTTTCTCCCATGTTCGGCGTGTGGAGCGCCCCTTGGAAAAACTTCGCCGAGCCATTGTCTTGTATCGAATACTGAAACGGAAAATAAAGTGTGTTTGTCAGCTTGTACTCTCATCGATCGAAATTCAGAAATTCATGATTTAATTTTGTGTCATTTACATTTGAAAGGAAAAACAATCCTTTGAGGGAAACTGCGTAAATAATCTTCCAATCCCTTTACTTTCTTTATCAACGTCATGTCAATTCCAGCAGTTCCAAGTCTGAGTTATATATTGGCAAATCCGTAAAACTGGATTTGAATAATGGAATAGTTTAGAACTCACTTTGAATTTTTGTGTTTTCTTGAGATTAAAGTCAAACAACAGATTACCAATAAATTCTGTCAATACGAATGACGTTACTTGGTCCAGCTAGTCTCGCTGATTTTCTTTGTTTTGCATACGCCTTAACTAAATACAGACGACCAGCGGTTCTTCGACATGATACTGCCTTACTGTTTAATGTATTGCTGTTTTTACAAAGCTCGAAAGTTAAAAAACGGACATTCCCGTAATTCATCATACAAGGCAGTATGACTAAAGCCTAGTATACATACAGACCCTTTATTGTCAATCTACTACAAATTTATGAACTTAGCAAGTTCCGTGTCTACGCAAAGACAGCTGGGAAATGAATTTCTTCCCCGAACCAACAACAATTTTTATGAAGTTCGATTCTAATGACTGTTTTTCATGCTCCTGCCGAAATTGAATCTTCAGAGAGTGTAGTTTTTCCCACATAAGTCACGGAAACGTTAGTACTTGCAAAAAACTCACTCACATTAACAGCTGTTCTTATAGTTGCTTGAATAAGCATCCAACAAAAATGAATTGATGAGGAGGTCTTCGGTCAATTTTGATGTATACCCGGTGTACCAAGCTTATATTACTTACGTATGAACCAAACACTAATAGATTACATAAGCTTTGAAAAGTTAATCAAATATTAACCCAACTAACAAATCAGTTATATAAATCAGTTCTCTCGTTGATCACTTCTGAGAAATGTTTGAATGATGACTGATGAATGATGAGGACTAATGAGGGGTTGTTTCAAACACACTTCCACACTGCAATGTTGCAAAATTTGAATCACAGATTCCCATTTAAAAAGGGACTCAAGGATATTTGCCCCTTGCCTTAGCTTATTATTAGCTACTAACCTAAGGGAGCTGCGTTGATTGAGTTTTGAGCAAAACTTAACAACAATGAGGAATCACTATTATCGTTTTGTACTATGATTAAATGTAAATATTTTAATTTCAAACGAGGCATTACAAAGCTGTCTAATTCCATTTTGCATGAAAGTCATCATTAGTTTGAATTTCGTTTCTGGCTTGTTGACTTTAAAAAAATGCTGTTACATGAATGATTAGTTTTGTCTAAGGTCTGCCGCACCCTGTTTATACCCCTAACGCCGCACATTCCCCAACGCCATTTTGGGTAGATTGTTCTTTAAAAACTAGGTGGGTGAAAAGTTAGGATGAACTGAACTTTTAACTGTGATACTTGTTGACAGTATACATTCACCCTAAAAGAAATGCTTTTTACGTAAGGATGTTATTTTATGTTTTAAATTGTTTTACCAAACAAATCCACTCGTAATAACTTTAAAATCTTTGAGACTTTGAGAAATATGAACTGACAACTATAAAAGAATTCGTGCAATGAATGATCCGATTCATGATCAAATTTTCAGGCCAGTAAAGCTGTTTATAGTTTAAAAAAATTTGATAAATGATTTTTTTTTAAATAATCTGAAACGTTTTATCTTTTATTACTTTTTTATTATAGTACATACTTTTATCTAGTTTTGCTATATTTACAATAAGTAGGGTGCTTATGTTAAGGCCCTAATTCACGTGTGACATGATATAGGATTATATCCAGTGACAGACCCACCTTTTTACCACGGTTTATGAACGTACATATTAATTTACAAACAATAATTATAACGGAGAACGAATTTTTACAGTTTAACAAATAGTAGGGACTAAAGCAAAAGGAGTGCTTTTTACATTTATTACATTTTTACGTAATAGTCACAAGCCACCAAGCCTTTTCCTTTTCAGACGTCGGCTGTTTCGGGGTGGTAGTGGATGAACAGAAATTTCTCACAAAGGATTTGGGTGGGTACTCATTCTTCTTTTCAGTCTTGTGTAGGCATGGCAAAGTTAGAGTACCTGTTATTAACCTAAAAACCCGATTTTGAACTGTATGAACCTGTTTTACTTTAAATTTGCTCGCTGATACCCATATCTCATAGCCATACATCCGAATTGGTATAATGACCGATAAGTATATACTCGAGCTGTTGGGGAATAGTGCTCAAAGGACATCTCTCAACTTTGAAGGTGTTCACATATTTCATCCATCAAAAAAAGTTCGCAAGCTCTATTTCATTTATTTTTTTCAAAAAATTTACCAGTGGAAAACACCACCTTTTCCTCCTCAACAAATTCAACGCAAAACTGAGTTTTTTATTTGAAGGCGTGAACTTACTCATTAGCATCGAAAGTTGTGATACTCTTTCCATGCAAAGAAAGACTCATCTTATTCATTTTAATGAACACATCTTATAAATACGATGTCATTTCTCATTATTGAAAACGTTGGCCAATTTGAAATAGTGGTCAATCAACAGAGATAAAACTTCAGAACGTAGTTCCGCAAAAGGCAGCCAACTAACTTTTGTATGGTGAAGCTGGGAATGATGAAGGCTTCCCACATCGACACATAGTATTGTGGAAAGTCTTGACTTAAATGGCGCGACTTGATATAATTAAAAATTTGAACAGACTCAACCCAAACTTTCTTTAAAAAGGCAGGCGTTTGTTTCATAGCTAAAGCGTCTTGGAGAACATAATGTCTGCTACTGCAAAATAAAAAAAATTCGCTTTCCGTATTCATTGTTATTAGTTTTTAATTGTATTTATTCATTCTCAGTTCATTTTTCTAATTAATACTTTTTCTCGAAGATCGCCGAGGACCCCCAAGGAACCCAAGGGGTCCAGGGACCAGAGGTTGGGAAGTCCCGCCTTAACCAACACAGTGTATATACAACACTGGCTAATAAAACGTTGCTTCAAACCACAAGATGGATAAAATCGAAATATTGAAGAATATATTTTAAAACCTGAGGATAAACGGAAAAAATACATGGCAACGTCCACCTGCGTGTGTCACGAATGAATATCTGGTTCAATACCATCCACTTTAGTTATACAAAAATAATCTGTTAAAGGGATTGGAATGTCAGTACACTTTTTAATGTATGTGTAATTTAGCATTTATTACCGGAAAACCCAATTATATAATTTTATTTACATAATATCAACACTAGAATACGTAACAAGAGTCACATATAAAGTCCTTAAAATCTTTAAAATGTTGACTCATTAGCACATTATCATATCGTTTAAGTTATTGCTTTCCGTCTACTTTTAAGCGTTTAACATTTTATATCATCATTAGAGCTTGAGGAAATGAAACGTCAAGAAGTTTCTTTTACCCAGTGCCTCTTCAACTGTCAGAAAGGCTATTTAAAATTCAGATAGTATCATTCCAAGTTTGTTTTTTGTTTTTAAATAAAATAATACAGTTTCGCCTATCAACACTGACCTTGTGTTTTATGCTTTCCGACGCTAGGTTGCTTAGCGATGCCGTTGGGTCCCAAAGAGCGGATGTCCTGTATCTTTGAAGATCCGACTCGGAGCTAGTTATTGGAAAACACTTGGCTACATGATTTCTCGTTGCTGAAACAGACGATTGCTTTTTAATCGGATTCAAATAATTTTTTTTTTATATCGTTTTAGTATTTTTTTAGAAAAATATAATTTATCCAAATTGTTAGACTGTATACTTTCTAATAGACCGATCCATCAAAATTATATAAACAAAAAAGAACTATTTTTACAATTTTTGTCTCATATTTTTAATAATAAAAACCTATGTGCAGTATAAGTTTTTAAATAAACACTAATCAACTAAACTAAGCATTAATATACATATACAAAAAAAAATCAAGGAATCTAATGTTTTAATTTATTTACAGATTTATCAAGTTTAAATGATTTTTTTAATGATTTTTACTACTTTCAAAAGCAATTTATAGCTAAGTTGATAAGTTTATTATGAATCTACATACAAATGAAAAATTGCAAGTTCATTATGTACATATAGTCCCATGTCTAACGACATGTTTGTAAATTGTTAGTACGATATAGTTAACGACAATTACTGGAAACCTGCTATCTTTTAAATAACTCACAAGGGAAAACTACGTATGTGAGGTAACCGATTTTTATTAAACCTTTTGGGTGTTATGAAATCAAAAAATATTAAACGCGTGTGCGAGCGTAGAGTACTTGCAAATTGGCTTTTAGGAGCCGAACAATTAAAAGAAAAGTTATTTATATATTTTTAGCACGATTTTGTTGAACATGTATTTTAAGGTAATTGTATATCAGTCCATTTGGAATTTGTAGTTCTTTATTGAAAAGTTTGGATTATTTTAGTTCAATTAAATTTTTATAACTGATCTCATTAAAATACGATCCTGCATCTTATTTTCTTATCTTATTTAAATCGACTGACATATCCCCGCCAAAAAATTGCCTTTTTTTACATACCCTGAATATTTTTAACGTTTGGTTTGACATAAATCAAAACCGTTTTGAAGTGCAAGTTAAACAAATGTATTGTTTATAATTGAGCAGCAGTATTAAAATAAGGGATTGGCATTTTTCTAATCCATCGGCTCCCTCGAATTTGGAATGGAACCAAAATCAGTACATTATTTGTTAGAGTAAGTTGTTAGACACAAAGTAGTATCCCTCCACTCTCAGGTGCACTGAGGTGGTTACTTTAAGCTTGGTCGTAATGATTTTCAAAGCTAATAAATCACTTCAACTTTCCATCTTTGTGCGACAAAATGCTCATCCTCTGACTCCGTCTATTTTTCTTCCAACAGTGAAAATCTGTCAATAATATTTTTTGACTTTCTTTCCTTTTTATCTTCCTTGATTGTGCCGTCTGATTATCAACTAAGACATCTACACCAGGGCGTTTAGTTGTATTTTCGTGCTACAGTTTGTATTATTGACAATTGCTCTTACTAAGATGAAGATTTCGGCTTTATTGAAATTTCTCCAGAGGGGATGCATACTGCGTCTTGTGAGATTGTTTTGTATCTTTTAATAACTTTTATTACATTAATCTATATTCTCCGTTCTCCCGAACATATTTGAAAACGATGAGAAACATCGCAATGATAGTCATGCAAGCTAACTCTTCCCAATCAGTACCCATAAATTCCTTGTCTCCGGCCTTGTGCTTTCCCATTTCGATTATGACGGTTTAGACTTCGCCGGACTCACCTGTAAGCTTGTTGAACAGACTCAAGAAAATCATTGAACTGCTTTCTTCGAGTCATATTTAGCTCTCCAAAGAGATCTCATGTGTCTAAATCTGGTGTAAAATAGCCCTTCTATCGCAGGCTAACTTTCTTGGCTCCTTCTTCTATCAGACAATTTCTGCTCATTCCCCTTTCTATATTTATAATCTGTTAACATGTAAGTTTTCTACACATATTTCAATACTCGTTCCTTCATTCTGATCCCCTCCTTTCTTATCCGTTCCTACAACCTCTAAAATTCCCTCTTCCGCTCATTTCACTGAGCCTCAACCCTTTCCACCTTTAATTCCCGTCTTTTTGACTATATCATTCTTACAATTTAACACAGAGAATGGGTAATTTTTATTAATTTTTGCCCTTTTTATTTCATTTAATACGTTTCATTTTTTTAATTTAAAATACGCATATGACACGAATTGTGCTAAATTTTGTACTTTTTTGTACATTCAAGAGGGCCCAAAGCCCCAGAATAAAATTTATTGTCTTCTTCTTCTTCATTATTATGTTACCTCAAGTCGTTCTTTTATGAAATCCCCAGCATTCAATCATCAACTGCATCTTCTCTAAGTAGCCTATTTTGAGATGCATATATTATTATATTTCAGAAACCTGGAGCCCCAAAAAATTCTGTGGGCATGCCAAGCCTTGTCCTTGGGTATTATTTCCGTTGTTACTGTTTAATAAAACTTATCTTTATATGGAAAATGATTATTTTTATACAAAGATTCCCTACATTGAACAGTAGAAATTTAGCAGTTAAATTTTATTATTTGTTTTAGAATCATGGGCCTATTAGCCGAAATAAAGACTTCTTTTATGTATATGGGGAATACAGTTTCTTTACACCTTAATTTGTGAGGCTGCACCGATGGAATTTGTTTTGTGGAAAATCCTGAGGTATGTGGTCCCACTGCTCCAATTCAGCCGCCTTAGAATGAACCTTTTTTTTCGAGATGATTCAAATAAGTTTGACTGGGCTATCCGGCCTTCTTGCTCCCTAGTCTGAAGTGTTTAGATAAATTTGGTGTTCAGGTACCCAGAAACACATGTTGCCTTATGTGGACGAGTATTGTCACGCATACGTAATTCAGGGCCTAAGCGAATAATAAAAGATCAGTAACTTGTGGGATCGTTTTAACGTATCTTAAGGCCTCCCATGAAATGTCGCCCTAAGAACATTATATTACTCCTTTCTAAATGTCAGTGTTTCCACATTCATTTCGAGACTATTTCTCTGTCATCTGGAATTTTAAGGGCCACTCGCACCTCATCAGCTAATGTATTGTTACTTTGTCCATTACTCTATAATCCACGATTGGTGTTCATTCGTTAATCTTAAAATTAGTTTCTAGAAACTTAAAGCAAATTTTTTGACGGCTTGAAATACGTGCCCAACGAAATCCGAAAACTAGAAAACTTCTAGGTCCCATTGGCCCTTATATTTTATTATTAGCTCAGACATCGTATAATATTTTTGACCTAGTCTCATCTACACAGAATTAAAATCAATGATGCCACGTCCTTAACCTCTTGTCAAAGGTCGTCTCATAGTGTGATAATTTGTTTCTAATTCTCCCGGCGGTGGATTTTGGATGAAACAGTCTTGAAAACGAAACGTAAGAGAATTGGAATGAATTACCAAATTAAGCCAATATTAACGTCCTGATTTGTTTATTTGACAATACATCACTGAATTACCGAAATTAGAAATGAAATTCAAATCACTGTTATGGCTCAGTTTAGTATTGGCATGCGTTTCGGGTTATATTTTTTTCTCTTTGTTCTTTACTATACACTACAATAGTATAGACATGTGTTGAATCTGTGTTACAATAATTGTTGTTTAATGATGGTATTAAACAGAAAAGCTTGATCAACACTCAATAAGGTCGATGTGATTTTTTAAAAATTATTAATTGTATAGCTATGTATGAGAAAAAGTTTTGAGTTTTGCATTTATAAACGAAAGCAGTAGTAATACGTTCTATATTTTGTATCATCCAGGAAGGAAATTGAATAGTGTTTCTCCAGGATAAATATTTAAATAACTAAAATGTTCAAACTGCACAACAAAATAAAACATTCGCCGTGGATAAAAAGGGTTTTCTCGTTATTCGCGGATACAGCGTTTATAGCCGTCTGCATCACTCTGCGAACCTCCGTTATGTCCTTACTCCCGAAAGGTCAAAGCAGAAGTTGCCGGCAAATCTCATTCTCCTTATCTTCGGGCGACCAGGCCACTACTATTTCCCTTCGTGTTTGTTTGTACGAACAATTAACTCAAACCGCAATAAAATCTTAAGTACCGATACAGTCCGGACAAAATCAAACTTTCCTGTTTCGTGTCAGCGTTTGTTCCGCTCTTGTATAAATAAATATGATTAGAGCGGTTCAATCAACCCGATGTTCTACAATAATTTGTACCTGTATTTATTTTATGTGACTTGTGCAGTGGCATGCTCTTCTAAACGTTTTAAAGCGGATATTCTCGAATTTCGATCGATCGTGGTGTAAGCATTCTTTTTCGTCGACTGTTTCTAAATGCGCCAATACAAAAATAAAAAAAAATAAAAAATAAGTGTACCAGACAGAACAATTATGGCGTGAAAACTGTGTTTATAGGCAAGTCTAAGTTTTAAAAAGTAGTTTTGTGAACTTTATCTGATACAGAAGCAGATTTGGGCTAGATAGCAGAATAAATACAGCAGCTTTCTTTCCTTTTCTACCTTTTTTAAAACTAAATAGTTTGTGAAGAAGAATTTCAGCTAGATAGAAAATCAATATAAATTCAGAAAAAAATAGGCAGTAAGCAAGTGCGGAAAATTCCGTAATTCAAGCTCCACGGTTTATAAAAATATATATGTACAGCTATTTTAAAATTACTTAAAAATTAAAATTAATATGCAATAACGTAAGTTTTAAACTTTTAGACATAAAATCATGAAACGCATTCTTACCAGTAATGTAAAATTTAAATAAACCTACTATTGCAATATGATCTTGCAATTTGTTCATAAGATTGTTATTGTTATGTAATAAGATGTTGTTTACTTAGATAAAAAAATATCTTGAGAAGTATAATTTCATTTATTTTCCAATTTTAAAACAATAAAATAAAATCTACTTTAATATTAAAAATATTTTATTCTATATTGATGATTGTTAAGGAAGGTTAGTATGTTTCTTTGAAACCCTGATGATTCGTATCTAACATCAGATGCATTAGCTTAGAAACAAGACAACAAATTTTACCAGATTTTGCATGATTTTGCTTTCCACAAAAATACAAAAATTGCACAGAAAGTTCCTCAAAAAATAAAAATTTTGCGGTAAATACTTAGTTTTTATATTCCAAGAGAATTTTTTTTATAACCATTTATACAAAATAAGACTCGAAGAAAGTAAAAAATTTCAATATATTTTTGAGAGAATGGATTACTTAGGTATATAAAACCTTATCAGGACAAAGTAAAGTGTCACATTTTTTGCTGTTTTAAGTTTATTTCTTATCCCTTTGCTACCAATTAATCCATAACTATACATATTTGGAAGTAATTGAAATGTATCCAAAAATGCATTTCCGATTAGGCAGAGCTAGTAATCTCAATAAAACCAATTGAACATATTTTACTTTCACAGTTAGACAATTTAGATCCAATTGCTTTCGTTTTAGAAAATAAAGTGCTAGTGGTTTTTATTAATGTGGCTAACGAATTGTGAAAATATTCTACCTAACGAAATACATTTTTTTCGTACAGAATGAAACTGTTTTCATGATATTCCGAGCTTTTGAAGCGTTTCTAATGATTTTTTGAAATTTGCGAGGCAAATGTTCTGATGTAAACTCACCGAAAACTCTCTTCTTTTATGTACACCATCTCTCAAAAAATGTAACCCAAAAAGAAATCGGCTATCAACTCCTTACTGCAAGAGGGACCAGGGTGCAACGTTTTAAGGCGTAAATTGGGTGGTAACGAGAAAAATGTTTAAAAATCAGTTTTCAAAAGTTTTCTTTTTTCACTTTTTGGTACACGTTTCCTCAAATATGTTCATCGTATTGAAACGATTTTTTTGTTATTTTAGAGAACAATAGTAGGCAAATAACCATAGAGCGCAAATAAAAAAATTAAATTAAACAAAACAGGAGCAAAGTAAAATATTGTTTATATAAAAATTGTGTAATTTGTGTTATAATGTTGATTCCTGCTAAAAATTAATGATTCAGTCTTATTTAAAACTTTTTAAGCTATTAACTTGTATTATACTAAAAAAATAATATATTATTAACAGACCGAATAGATTTTAAGAAAATGACACCGAAAGATGGCAAATGTTGTCCTCTTTTAGAACAATTAAATGATCATGGAAAATTGTTGAAACACGGCAAAATTTTAGAATTAGATACCTGTACAAAAGCCACAAGCCTTTTGAGAAAGAATTACATATAAAAATGAAAAATATGAAATAGAAGTGTAAGAAATAAAATTTGAAAAAAATCAGCTGTTGGTTTTAAACAAGGTTGCTACCCCTTTAAAATCGGTCATTTCTTGTTCTTTTTTTCTTTTTTCTTTACATTTCTTTTTCGACTTACATTATTCATCCAACATTTTCACTTTCAAAACCTAAGAACTAAATAAAACTAAATCTTATTGTTGCTAATGCATCTTATATGATAACCAATTTTAAAGACAAAACAGTTCTTTTAGTGCAAAAGTTTTTGCTTGTTCATTTTTCCCATTTGGAACATTGTACGTTTACAAATTAATGAAATATTCGCCTGTAATGATTGTCTATTGTTTGTTTCATGAATGCTCAAAACGAGTAATAAAACAATATTAAAAAGAAACTAATTATATATTAAAAAATGTTTTGTTTATTTTTGGTTAAGGATTACTTCATTTTTCAAAGAGGTTAAATTCATCGTTAAGAACGGAAATTTCAAAACATAAATGTTTTATATTAGCACAAATATAGGGAAGTATCTTAATGGGTTTACTGAATACAATATTCAGTAAACTACTGAATAGAATTAAATACGAAAATCAATCGAAAACACCAAGTCCGTTTAAGAAAAGTCACAAAGGGTACGAAAGCTCTTCAAGCGTGCAATAGTCTAAGTGCTAAAGTTGTTGCTTCAACTTAATTACAAGAGTTAAAACATTAAAACAAAATACAAATCAAAAAAGCAAAAGCCAATGTATGGCAAATCCTCCATCTTTTCTCGGATTTTTTTTGTTTTGATTGCTTTTTACCTTCGGAAAAGTTATCGAGTGTATGCGGTCTGGGTCTGGTTGGAATGTCTTCTTGCGTTTTCGAACTCGGCACTGGACACAAGACATACTATGTACCTTTTGAACTTAATACATACCTTATTTTAACCATGGGGTATTCCTTACATACCATTATTGAAATATAAAAACAGGTCTTATCAGAATTCATTAATGAATTTGGTACCGAAATAATTGTGGTTAACAAATCTACTTATTTATATACAGTTGATTCCCGCTAATCAGAATACGCGTTGATTGACGAGAAGAATTTTTACTTTGCAAATAAAAATTCTCTGGGTAAATGGGTTAGCTTTGTTTACTCCAAACTTACTGAAGAATTTTCTGTGCACTTTCATCCTAAAACTGTGAGATCTGCGTGGTGATGAACCTGTAGTTTGACTCTTTTCTAACTATTTCTGCTACTCATCGTTATTCTAGTTGTCAAATGCGATTCGGCTTTTTACTAGGTTACTTGTGAGGCTTTAACCAAAATTCATTAAAAACTTAATATGGCAGAAAGAGGTATCAGAAAGACCAGGTCTTAACTGCAGCACTCTGTATTTTAAAACTTCTAACTTAATTTTCATTGTACATTTATCAAATAATCAGTTGTATTTGCTAGTCCTTCTTTACTGCTTTCTTCTGCATTATTTCAGTAGTCGGTCAATCCCAATCAGTTCGGACTAAGTTTTTAAAGTTATTTTTCCTTTGCTCATCAATATAAAATTTAAATGCGATAGTTAAATTTCAATGTCAGAAACCTTGGAATTCAGTCTGTCAAAAAACCTTAACCAAAGTTTCTCAATATTTGTTCCGTCAGAAATATGAGGCATTGCGTCCTCAAAGATGAAAACCATTTATATTCACTAATGCAGGCCACTTTTCCTTGATGGCCTATTTAGTATGGGACTGTAGTTTGATGGAATTGACCGTTTTGCCAAAGGAAGAAAATTTAATAGGAAAGAATTTCTCCCGACCCTGACTAAATGATGGGAGGAGGTAGTCAACCCTAAAAAGTGGGTAATGATGGTTCATTTGGCTTCTCCCCTTGATCGCTGCCAAATTGTATTATTATACAGAATCCACATTTCAAGCCACGTCACTAATATTGTAAGAAATGGGACTTATTTGAGCGCTATGAATGCAAATCTCATGTAGGAAGATTATGTGTATTTATTCCCATAACAAATCCTGTGCCAAGTTCCAAAAATTTGGAAATTAATAAATTGCTTATAATGCGATATACTTTGTCTTATCACAAATAGAATTTTGCTGTTTAACGAAAACGTTTTCTTCGAATCTTTGTTGAAAGATTGAAGCTTATTCACTAAAGCACATTCCCTAAACAGACTTCACATGATTAAATTAAAAGTTATTTTAAATGAAAAATTGACAGGAAAAGGGGCCTGTTTATAAAAAAGATTGTCCATTCAAACACATTTTCCGGGCAGTCAAAAGTTCAATTTGTCGTGGCCGCTGACGACCTGTATTATTACCCAGAATCGGTCGTTCATCCTCAGTTTGCTTTAAACTAGTGATGAAATATTCTTTTCGCCACTTTTAAAACAAATGAAAAATTGAAATGGACTGCTTTTAATTTCAGTCAGCCGAACATGAAAATATGATTTATTTTATTCAATGCAGAAAACATGGATATTTAATTAAAATGACTTAAGTAGAAAATAAATTGCATAGAAAATTGTATAAAATATTTTCCTAAACACATAAAAATACAGTATGAAAGAGTACGAGTTAAAAGCCAATATGATTTTCTGATAAAACCAATCTATCGGTGCCATTAGTGGATTAAGTTTGGTTTGTTTTTTGTTCCTTTCAGTTTTTGCGATCTTTCTTTTGTGTGATTATGATTCTTTGGTAATTATACATACGCCTACTATTACTGTTTTGTTTGTTTTTCGGTATTTTTATGTCAAATGTGCGTTTGTATATTTCCAAGTTTTTGAATTTATGTATTTTTCTTCTTTTTTGTATACAAGATATATCGTATAGTAATTACATGCTGGTCAATATTGTTGAGTATTCATGGTAGTTGTAACATGAGTCGCATAGTTTGAGTTTCTGTCATCGTCTCTAAACAATCGTATATATGATTATATTATATATGCCATTTTTGTCAAGTGGGTTAGCTTTTTCAGTGTTTTCTTCTAAAAAGGAGAAACTACAGAGGTGGGATTACCCATTTTAATTTAAAAAATTTGATATCGAAAATAATTGACACAATGTCCGAGGGCTCAGCATTTGACAAACTATCGTCAACAAATTAGAGAAAATTCATAACATCCGTTAACGGTGCCTTTTTTACTACAAACTCCCCAGAAAACTGAGCGTTAGCGACAAAATCCATTATGAAAACGTATTCCAATAATCAACCTTATCTGAAAGACGTGTAAAATAGCGAAGACTTCAAAATTGCAAAATCTCTTTACTTACAGAACGTTATTCTTTAAAAGAAATTTATTAATAAGAACATTGGACATCGGCGAAAACTATATCTACTGATTCAATCCCAAATATATGCAATTTTTATTGCAATAAAAATGCGTATTTGATGGTAATAAACCTTGAACAAAGTGAATCTAAATTATGTTTTTTATTATTATTTTTTAATAAAAAAAAAAGTTTTCAGACCTAATTTATTCGTTACGTGTTTTTTTATTGGGTAAATTTTTGTACATTAACTCTCATTTAGTACGATCCTGCCTGTTATTTGCTTATGTTATATTACAAAAAGTGCAGATTAGTAACAACTATTCAGAAATCGTGAGATCCGGTCTGGTGTGATGTAGGTTTCAGAAAAACATTTTCTTTATCGTGCCAAAGTTTCGATCTTTATTGATTGAATATAAAAAAAAATATTTTGCATTGTAAATTCACTTTTAAATGTATATGTTTAATGTAAACAATGTTTGTAAATCCCAGGCCGTGAAGATGATCTCAATAAAAATCGAAACGTTGGCACGATAAAGAAAATGTTTTTCTGAATCCTACATCACACCAGACCGCATCTCACGATTTCTGAATAATTATCGATTAACGGTCACTAATCACCACACATTAATAATACCCTTGAAATACACGCACAAACCATATTTTAAAAATTACTAAATTACTTAATATAGTTTTACGCCTTTTACAGCCCGTGGGCAAAAAGCTCAGTCACGTGTCTAATATTTTTTGACAAAAATTAGTAGTTTCGTCAAAACAATTTTTATTACATATAATCCCTTACACTTCGTAAGTTGTTTTCAGAAGTTTTCAAATTTTTCAGTGCTGTTTTCGTGTGAGTATTTTTTTATTATATTGTTGGTCGTAGTATTGTTGAAGCCTTTATTGAGTGGTATGGTTTTTAGTTCGTTTTCGTATTTCTTTTTAGTCAGTAGTAGAGTTCTTTGTCCCTGTTATAACAACAAAAGTATCCAGGTTCTCCCCTTCATGCACGAAAACTCAGGATAAATAGTCGAGGCTAGATATAGTAATGGAAAGGAGAAATATCCAACTTGGACACTTTAGAAAATTAAGGTTTGTACCCTTATTAGATTTATTCTTATAGTTTATCAATTAACGTAAAAATAATTCAAATTTCTTGTTTCAAACGGCGAGTTTTGTTTAACTTGAAAGGAAAAATTCACTTTTTTTTAAATCTTAAATTTTTGCAATTATTTTTGTTAATTTAAAAACGGTATAAGAACGTCATCATAATAATATTTGGTGATTTCCTAAAAATAAAATTTCTTTCCTTTGAGGCAATAGCCACTTCAGTCCACACGTTGATTATTAGTAGTAGTTATCTAAAATTCGGACGTTATGAATACCGAGTCTCATACTTGGTTTAGTGATGTCATTTTCTGTCGTTGGGGTGATTTGAAACGTTTATGTAAAGTTTCTAGATGTTCACAATGGTCGTCTTGTAAACGAGCAAGTCGGACCAGAAAGATTAAAAAAGACCAAAATACAGGTTCATCACTTCCCTGGGAAGAAATCTCAAAATTATTGTTTTACAAAAAAATGAAAATATCTAACTTAAAGAAAGCCTTATAAGATAAATTACTATATTTAGATTCATCGTAAAATTTAAGCATAAAATTGTTTATAGAAACCCTCACTAAATATAGCTTTAAATTTACTATAAACCACACGTTGATCTGATGTATTCGTACTGTTATCAGTTATTCAAACTTGCCGAATAAAACTAATAGTATAGTTTTCGCCATTTAATATAGTCGAAAGTATTTATACATCAACTTAAACACATTTTTTAAAATAATTTAAATGGAAAAATTGACTTTTTGTTTAGGTTTGAGAATTTTTTTTTCAATTTTCCCAATATTCGATTAACATGAAAACTGACTGACCTTTTTTTTTATATTTCGTCTTAATGAATTAAATCTTTTGTGATAGTTTATGATATTGAACCTAATTCTAAAATTAACTGCACGCCACAGTGTGGGTGGATATGACAAATTTAACTTTAAGAACCTTTTAATTGTCTGAGTTAGCATGCAAAGACAAAAACAAACAAAACAACGTACAACAACTATTTCAATTTAATTATAAATAATTTGATTTTTTGTTGCTGAAAACGTTCTAGTACTTCTTTAACAAATGTTAATTTTTTGATAATTGTTGTCAAAGCGAATTTTAATTAAATTGAGAATTTAAAATCATTCCTTTCAAGGTGCACAATGACATACAACAATTAAACACAACATCGACTAGGGACAGTAAGCGATAATAAACATTGTTAAAAATTATTATTTACAGACAAAGTGTAAAAAGGGAAATTCGGAAAATATTTGGCCGACTTCGATTCTATTATTTGTAAATTGCTTGTGCAGGAACATTATTGAAGAACAAAAGCCTTTCCCGATCCCATTAAGTTTGGAATCAATATCAAGGAGTCGAGCTGGCAATGTACCAAATTAGCAAAGTTAAATCGCGAAATCGTTCATTTAATTTAATTCACAAGAAAAAAATAAAGGAAGTATCAATAGTACTTACGGACGGAGCAAGTCGCGCTTCTTGCGGGGGGCCTTGGGGGCTCTGGGGATCTCGAGACCGCCCTTCGTCCAGAGATCCCATCCAGAGAACTGGCATGAGGCACTTCTCCTGTATCCCAGAGTTGTTGTGAAACCTAATTTAAAAAATGGAAAAACATATTCAAATGTTTTTCTCTCACCTTGGAGATATTTGGGCCTGTTACCTGTTCGGGTGAGGCAATAGGGGCGCTTGGGAATGAGGCACTGATTCGGTTGCCTCCCTGGCTCAGTCTATCAGTTTCAATTGTCGTTGTTTGCTCGGCACTCAGTCTTCTGAAAATAACATAATTTGTTCGGTAAATATTTCCCTATATTTCTTACAAATGTATCCGTTTGATTGTTTTTCCAAAGTTTAATTTCATTTTAACTCTTACACGAACAAGATGTGAAAAAATAATGAAAGCGTAATATTATTTAATATTTAACCTATGGATCGCTAATCTGGTGGAACAAAGCTCAACAAAAAGTAGCTACCCAAACATTAGGCCTCATAAAAAGACTAGCAAACCTATTATCACAGGGGCGATGAGAACAACCCCTACAAATACATTAGAAATTCTTCTGAACATACCTCCACTGGAAATATTCATACAAGGAGAGGCTAGAAAAAGCTCACTTAGGCTTGGAATACTACAGTTTTGCACATGATTCAGAATGTACATACCCTTGTTGTGAGGGGCTTGGAGTAATATTAGACTCAGATTCTTCGGTAGTTGTCGGAGGTGGACTAAGGTACCCTCCTCCGGTCCTTGGCCGCCTCAGTGGTCCCATCCGCAGCGACTGTCTGAACGACTGTCTCGCTCGGTCAACTGGAATAATCCGTTCAGTACTTACATCAATTAGTACAGTTGACAAAAAAATAAATTTTTTATACATAAAAAATAGGTTAGACAGCAATTGCCCTTCAGCTAATGAAACTTGGACCTTTCAGCATTAACCGCAAAGAATATTACATTAAGTACATCAGTTAACTTATATACAGGGTGAATTGCTACTCGTGCTACAAACTTCTCCAGTAGATTCTTCACCCTAAAATGAACAAAAAAGTTCATATTGTCCATGGTCCGATTCTCAACCATTTCAGAGTAATTTCGCTTTTTATCGATTTTGAAAGATATCACGTCCTGGCGTCGGAAAATCGTGATATCTTTTAATCTAAACATTTCTCT